AAAGTATAACACTTGTTTGTTGTATATGCATCTATGTAATAAAGATGGGTTACATCTGTTAATAAGTAATGATGTAGTATAATGCAAGTGGTCATTTTCAAGTCTTGTTAAAAAAAAACTAGTTTTTTAGAAACAAACTTTAGTATTTTCCTGAATGTCATTAAAATTTCCAGTCAGACCTTGTTTCCTGATGTATAACCTCCTCCAGTTGTTGCTGTGGAAGTCAGGGAGGGGACACGGCCCCCTCCCTGACCCACCACAGTGGGAATTCCAGGCTACGTCAACCACAGATGGAATTGAACTCAGACTCTGCACCACTGGCGCCTTACGGTCGCAGACAATCCCACTCTGCTATGACACCTGTCACACTTTGGACTTTTCTCCGGGCGCATTTATCTTTTTCTTTCTTCTTCTACAGTCATTGGAAAAAGATAATAGTGGGATTTGAACCCATGAGCTTCTAGTTTTAAAGTCAAGGTTTTAACATCCATGCCACACTTTTGGCAATTTGGACTTTTCTCCGGGCACATTTATCTTTTTGTTTCTTCTTCTACAGTCGTTAGAAAAGCAGAAGATCAACTTCTGCGGTATTTGAACTCATGAGCTTCTAGTTTTAGAGCTGATGCTTTAACAATCACACCACATGCCCTGTCTCACTAAGCTCATCTTTTTGTAGCGTATTTATCTTTTTGGTTTCATTTCTCACTTTGAAAACCAATAAATCTAGATGTAACATGTATAGTGATTCTAGGTGTTATAATCTATGAGACTCCAGAGATGAACCAGGAGTTGAACTCAGGATCCACTGAACTCTAAACCAGCATCTATTCCATCTGAGCTACAAGGCAGATGAAGAATCTTTCTCTTTAAAAGCTCTGATCTACCTTAGATTAGAAACCCAGAAATCTTCACACATTACCCATTTTTAAATGTAGACACGTGTCACACTTTGGACTTTTCTCCAGGCAGATTTGTCTTTATTATTTTGTTGTTGGAAAAACAGAAGATCAACTTCTGAGGGATTTGAACTCATGAGCTTCTAGTCACACTTTAACCTCTTCTCGTAGCGGATTTATCTTTTTGATTCTATTTTCACTTTGAAAGCCAATAAAAGGACTTAACCTTTATAGGGATTCTATTATTATCTCTGGGATTTCAGAGTTGAACTCAGGATCCTTTGAACTCTAAACCAGCATCTCTTCAGAATCTTCCTCTTAACTTTTTTATCTGTGTAAATGGCTTTGGTTGTACTTTAAGGACAGATTCTATATCTGCACTGTGGGGACTATAAATCTGATAGTTTTATTTTTAATTCCTATTTTTTTATATATTATGATTAGATTTTAATATGATGTCCTTTAAATTATTCAAACAATGTGAACAAACTTTTTATTTTTCATTAAAACGTGATTATTTGTCAATGGAACCAAAAAGAAACCAAAGTAAAAACTCAGATTCATCCTTTAACCTTCTGGGATAAAAGTTTGAACCTTAAACCTGTGAAGCATCAGAAAACTGTTTGACTGATTAACAGCCTGATTAATTGACATCCTGATTAAAAAGGCTGATTAAACCTTAAACCAGCAGGTTTTTTAAATAAACTTTCCTGAACAGAGGATTGATAAACAGATAAACACATTAATGCTGAATAACAACAATTAAACACAATCATCAATCAAAGGTCATTAAGATAAAAAAGGTCAGGAACCAAACTAATTAAATTTAAAACCTTTAAAACAATAATATATTTATAATATATTTATTAAAAAGCTCCTAATTTCAATCTATGGAAAAAAAAAACTGTTTCAGAAAACCTGAATGTTGTAACAACAATGATGATAAAGCAAGACGTTTGGATCAAACTGATGATGATGCTAAAAGCATGAAGGCTTTCCAGCAGGAGTGATGGAACGCGTCTTTCCGGGTCTAAACCAAACAGAGAGACACGGAGGGACCCGGCCTGAAGCCGACTCCAAACCCAGGATGCAGAGGTTCAGAGAAGCTGGTGCTGAAGGTGTGGATGTGGATCAACGAGTCTGAGGAGACTCTGTAGAAGGACAGCAGGCCAGCAGGATGGTCCAGGTAGACGGCCACTCTGCTGGTGACCGAGGAGGAGGAGGAGGAGGAGGAGATGGAGTTGAGACTAACCGATGTTCCTTTGTTGTTGTGATAGACAGAGTAAATGCCGTCAGAGCAGAAGAGACTCCAGGACTTTTCATTGTATCCCAACTCACAGAGGTCGCTGTCTCCCTTCCTGCCGATTCCTCTGTAACTCACTGAAACATGAACTCTTCCTTTCCGCTCCACCTCCCAGTAGCAGCGGCCAATCAGAGCGTCTCTGCACAGCAGCTGGCGGCACCAGTCGAACCTGTCCGGATGATCCGAGTAGAGCTGGTCCTCCTCCACATGCGTCACCTTCCTGTTATCCTCAGACAGCTTTAGGTTTCTGTGCATCGTGTTCCGGTCAAAAACAAGCCGACGGGAATCTGATGAGAGAAGCAGGAGCTGAGCTTTGATCCTTTAGCCTCATTAATACTAAATAAAAACAAATACTTACACTTCCTTAAACCTGGTTTCAAGTATTGGACTCCAGCAGGCTCCATCCTGAGAACATCAGAGGTAATAAAGCTTTCACACTAAATCTAAAACAAACGCTTTTTTTTTTGGCCAAAACCAGTTAAACTGAGATTTATGAGGTGATGAAATATCAGTTTAACCATCGTAAGGCTTAAAACACAACAACTCAAGAAAAGACTAAACCGATTTTCACTGCAGCTATTTCTGCACCTGAGAGTCTCCAGTCTGGAACGGCCATCTTCTAATCGAGCCGTCATCAATTTCTCTCCATCTTCTCCTGGATGGTTGTAGCTCAGGTCCAGGTCCCTCAAATGAGACGGGTTGGAGCTCAAAGCAGAGGCCAGAAAAGCACAACCTTCCTCTGTGATCAGACAGCCTGACAGGCTGCAAAATGATTCACTATTAATAGAGTTACAGAAACATCCCAGAAATGAAGCATGGAAACAGATTCAGGAGAAGAAAACCGGATGAATTAACCTCCTGACCTCAGAGTCTGCAGTTTGCAGTGTGGACTTTCCAGGCCTGCAGACAGGAGGTTCACCCCCGAGTCGCTGAGGTCATTGTTAGTGAGGTCCAAGTCAGTCAGACGAGAGGACTGGGACCGTAGCACCGAGGACAGATGTTTGCAGCTGGTTCCCGACAGATTACAAGAGCTCAGCCTGGTTTGACAAGAAATTCATTAAAGTAAATCATTTATGCTCCCAAATAATTCTAATTATTTAATTTGCCTGGAGTGAAGAGAAGAAGAAAATATTTACTACCAGAAGCAGCATGTTTATTTTGAGGCAGAACCTGATCTCCATTAATGGGAAACAAACCTGATATATTTCAATCAATACTTTATGAAGCCTAAAGGGAAATTCTATTATAGTATAGAAATCTTTTGAGGTTCTAGAGGTTCTTCATCAGGGCGTGATCTACAGCTCTCACTGAAGTGGTTCGCAGCCGAGTGTGAAGCGCCCGAAATGAGGATCAGTTCCTCCGAAACCATGGTCTTGAGGGGTAGAGTAGGTTTAGAGGGTAGAGTGCCTTCTTTGGGTTGGGGAGGATGTACTACCCCTAGTGGAGGAGTTTAAGTATCTTGGGTTCTTGTTCACGAATGTGGGGAAGATGGAGCGGGAGATCGATAGGCGGATTGGTGCAGTGTCTGCTGTGAAGCGTGCCCTGTACCAGTCTGTTGTGGTGAAGAGAGAGCTGAGCCAAAGAAAGCAAATGTCTCTATTTACCGGTCGATCTACGTTCCTACCATCATCAATAAGGTAGGAACATACCCTGTTGATGAGGGTATGTTCATCAACAAGATCCCGGATACAAGGAACCAGTTAAGGTGGCTCAGGTATCAGGTTAGGATGCCTGGACGTCTCCCTGGTGAGGTGTTCCAGGCACATCCCACCAGGAGGAGGTCCATGGGGAGACTCAGGACACGCTGGAGGGACTTTGTTTTTGGCCTGGGAACGCCTTGGAATTCACCCGAAGAGTTGGCCCAAGTGGCTCGAAAAAAGGACATCTATGCCTCCCTACTGAAGCTGCTACGCCCACGAATGAACCCCGGATAGGTGAAAGAAGATGGATGGATGGATGAATGGGTGGATGGATGGATGGATGGATGGATAATATAGTTCATAGAAATAATACAAGCTTTAGGAAACGTAGCAATAGCTGCCATATCTCTAGTGTAGACCAAGACAAGACGTACTTAATCGATGTTACAAAGGGAAATTCATTGTTACAACGGCTCTCAGTGACACAGACTGGGTTCAAACTGGGTGCAGACTGGCACAGATTAACTTTCCTTGAATATAAAAAGGTTTGGATCCTTATATGACACTACCTTACAGCTGCGATAAACATCAACATAAAAACACTGGATGTCTTACCTCAGAGCTTCCAGGGCACAATCTTGACTCTCCAGTCCAGAACATAGGAGGAAAACTCCAGAGTCCTTCAAGTTGTTGTTACTCAGGTTAAGCTCTGTCAAGCTTGATGAGTAGGAGCCAAGAACCGATGACAGTGTCTCACAGCTTCTGTCTGAGAGGTTACAATGGCTCAGGCTGAAAAAGGAGATAGGGGGAATCTTAAAGTGGGGAGTATAATCATTGTATATACAACCTAAAGTTAAATACTGACATAGCTTTCTTTGATTGTTTGACCACCGGCAGCAATCTTAGGAAGGTATCCTCTGAGGCTGAATACTTTTTCAGGTCAAAAGTATCAAGACTTTGTTCAGATGAAGTCAAGATAAAAGCCAGAGCTGACCACTGGGCAGGTGACAGTCGTTCTGGGGAGAGACTTCCTGAATCCAGTGAACGCTGAATCTCCTCCATCAAGGAACGGTCGTTCAGCTCGCTCAGACAATGAAAAAGGTTTATGCTTTTTTCTGCTTGTAGATTCTCACTGATTTTCTTTTTGACATACTGGACAGTTTCCTGATTGGTATTGGAACAGCATGGGGTTTGTCTCAACAAACCTTCCAGAAGTCTCTGGTTGTTCTGTACTGAAAGACCCATGAAGAAGCGCAGGAACAAGTCCAGGTGCCCGTCGGAACTCTGCAATGCCTTGTCAACAGCACTCCTGTAAATATCCGTTTCTGCAGACTCGTCTTCTCTCGTCTCAGATCTCAAGGATGTTGACTGTTCTTCCATCAGGTTGATCCCAGAGTTGATGAAGGTCAGATGAACATGAAGAGCAGCCAGAAACTCCTGAACACTCAGATGGACAAAGCAGAATACCTTCTTCTGGTGCAGCCCTGTCTCCTCTTTAAAGATCTCTGTGAACACTCCTGAGTAAACTGAGGCTGCTCTGACATCGATGCCACACTCTAGCAGGTGTGATTCATAGAAGATAGCGTTTCTTTTCTGAAGCTGATCAAAAGCCAGTTTTGCCAGGGACACAATGATTTTTCTGCTCTCTGGACTCCAGTGTGGATCTGCCACAGATGCTCTATCATATTTGGTCTTCCTCATGTTAATCTGAAACACCAGAAAGTAGATGTACATCTGAGTTAGGGTCTTGGGAAGCTCCCCTCTCTTTTCTACTTCCAACACCTCCAGAACTGCAGCAGCGACCCAGCAGAACACTGGGATGTGGCACATGATGTGGAGACTCCGTGATGTCCTGATGTGGGAGATGATCTTGCTGGCCTTCTCCTCGTCTTTGAATCTCTTCCTGAAATACTCCTCTTTCTGTTGGTCAGTGAACCCTCTGACCTCTGTAATCCTGTCAACATACTGAGGAGGGATCTGATTGGCCGCTGCAGGTCGTGTGGTTATCCAGAGGAGAGCAGAGGGAAGCAGATTCCCCCTGATGAGGTTTATCAGTAGAACATCCACTGAGGTGGACTCTGTAACATCAGTCAGGATCTCATTGTTGGTGAAGTCCAGAGGAAGTCGACTCTCATCCAGACCATCCAAGATAAAGAGAACCTGGAAGTCTTCAAAGCTGCTGATTTCTTTGGTTTCAGTGAAGAAGCGATGAACAAGTTCCACCAAGCTGAACTTTTTCTCTTTCAGCACATTCAGCTCTCTGAAGGTGAATGGAAATATGAACTGGATGTTCTGGTGGGCTTTGCCTTCAGCCCAGTCCAGAGTGAACTTCTGTGTTAAGACTGTTTTCCCAATGCCAGCCACTCCCTTCGTCATCACTGTTCTGATTGGTTGATCTCTTTCAGGTGATGGCTTTAAAATGTCTTCTTGTCTGATTGTTGTTTCTGGTCTGTGTGGTTTTCTGGATGTTCTTTCAATCTGTCTGACCTCATGTTCCTCATTGACCTCTCCAGTCCCTCCCTCTGTGATGTAGAGCTCTGTGTAGATCTGGTTCAGAAGAGATGGGTTTCCTGCTTTAGCGATTCCCTCAAACACACATTGGAACTTCATCTTCAAGTTTGACTTGAGTTTGCGTTGACAGTTTCCAGCTCCAGTCCCTATTAGAACACAATAAATCATCAATTCCACCCAGAAAATGCTAATTGTCTTAAAGTGACAAAGGTGATGATGGCTAGATTAGAAGACAAAAAAATAAACATCTAATGATAATAAATATATGTGTGTTTGTAATAAAACAAAATCAGTTTCTAAACTTAAAGAACAAAAAAAAGAAAAGGTAAATCAAGCCATTGTTATTATTCAGCTTGGAGCTGCGCGCATTGATCCAGTCTCAGCTGTGTGTTCCACACGGCTCTGCTTTATGGAACCCAGCCATGTCTACCCTTGTTTGAAACTATTACAGGAGAAGCGGCGCAAGTGAAGTTAGGATCTGGCCTGCAGTCCGCTAATCTGTGACCTCTGTTCTATGCTGTATCTCAGCACAAGGTCCAATGTTTGAAGATGAGAATGTGTGGGACTATTCACATTTTGAACATAGCCAATGTCTAAGATAGCATTAAATGCTACACTTCAGCTATTAACTTCATTGTCATCATGGATGTTAAAACCCTCCACTATGATAGCTTTTTTCCACAAATACTTTTAGTTCTATAGCTGCTTAAACAAATAAAATGAGGTTTAAAATCCCACCTGACATGTGTGACTCTGCAACAGCAGGTATTCATTTTTAGCCCCGCCCCCTAATGGCCGCCATCAATGGAAACTAGAGGCTCAGGCCTTTCCAAGGAGGGGTCGGAGGTCATTGTGCGATCATTTCAGGTGATGGAACCGGCATGCGTTACATTAGCTGCTCTGTTATTCTTATTTTCTATCCAGTTTGCTGATATTATTGATAAATTTCAATGAAACGACGACTAAATCTGAGGAGGAAAGGCTTTGCCTCATGCAGAAGGTCTCCAATAATGGAAATCAGCATATTGGTCTGATCAGATTCACCTTTATGTGCAGAAAAATGCATTTTAGCAGTATTAGCATTGTGCTAAAATCCCATTTCCTCCTAACTCTCTGCTCACTAAAACCTCTGTGGAACAAACATGTTTCAACTGATTCAGTCCAGATTAGCTTAACTTATAGTCATGATGTGGATCTATAAAGTCTGAGGATTCATCCAGAGTTTCAAATGAGCTTTCATGGTGTTTATTTTTGGAAAATTTGCTAATTTCTTTTCATTTTTTCTTTGCGTCATCATCTATAAATCAGACATGGTGACATTTAAAATAGTGGATCCACCTGGAAAATATTCCTCAATGCCTTTCAGTCACAAATACACACAACTGCGTTTCCAATTTATAGTCTGGGAGCTGAACTTGCTTTAATTCACAGATGGAATTTCAGGCGGAATTTGCTCCTAAGACCCTCAGAGCTTAAAGGGTTAATTAGGTTAAACTAATTAGTTTGAACATTTAGAAGCGGCTCACCTTTTTGCAGGTGATCGTTGGTCTGATTTAAATTCAAAGAAGGCGTCCTTTGACATGTCGCTCTTTAGGGACACACAGCTGGGTTCTGGTTCTGGTTCTGGTCCAGGTTCTGGTCGTTTCCTGTGGATAGAGATGCTTTGGTGATGTTCATGCTGAGCTCTGACACAGAGGAGAGTCCCGGACAGTTAGAGGTGATGATCTGACCTTTGACCTTTACTCTGCTCCTCAGGCTCTCCATGCAGAGCAGTGTCAGAGGGAGGGGCTGGGTCCTCCTCTCTGTCCTCACACTGATCCATGATGCTCACTTCAATGAAGCTGCTAACAGGAAAACAAAAAAAAAAAAAAACCTGAAGCAGTGGAGTGTAGATCTAGATCAGTCAGAATGTTCCTGCTGCAGCTTTATAGCTGAGTACAAAACATAGAGAGGAAAACAAGAAGGAGGGACAAAATCTAGAACAGATAATGGATGTCTATTCTATTAACATTTCTCTATCTGTAGAATGGGTCTGTTCTATGTGTTGTTTTCTTAATTCAGAGGGCCCCCTGCCCATCTCTGCCTAGGGCCCCAGATGTCCTAAATCCGCCCCTGTGTTTAACTTGATCATTTTGGCAGATTGAGGAACAGAAACTGGACTTTAGGCCGCAGTCAGAGCTTCAGGTGGCGGGGAGTCTAATCCTGGAGGATTAGGAGATTTTCTCATTTCTGCTGGATTAAATCTGTTGGTTCTTTAGAAAAATAAACATTAAATCTAATTTAAAGTAGATTAAAGTGAAAAAAGGTAAGAATTTCTCACCAGCTGATCAGGGTCTGGCAGGGAGAGCGACCATCGCCTCTGACAATAGAAACTGAAATTAAAGTTAAAAAAGGAAAAACCCCGATAGATTCAGGGACCAAGTTAGAAATCTGAAAATTCAGAAACGCTTCAGGACTGTCTGAATGTTACTGAGGAGAAAAGAGAGAAAACTGTGCAGATAAATGATCAATCCTAACAGGTGTTCATTTCTTTAGGAATTCATTTGCTTTAACTCCAACAGGCTGTTTTCCTTCATGCTCCTAATAACCGGGGGGCACTAGGACCCTGTTCGCCCTGCATGCTGCCTGTCATGTACCGGATAAAAGCTGCAGCTCTGACGTCAACAGATGGAGAAAGAAGTATTTGACCCCTTGCTGATTCTGCAGGTTTGCTCACTTCCAAAGAATGCAACGATCTATAATCATCTGTACTTCTAGGCCAGATGTTGTGTGGAGGCCCAGACCGAGGGAGGGTGCTTCTTCCATTTCCTGATAACTGCACCAACAGTTGATCTTTTCTCTCCAAGTTGTTTCCGATTCTCTTGTAGCCCATCCCAGCCTGGTGCAGATCAACATGTTGTCCCTGATGTCCGTAGAAAGCTCTTTGGTCTTGCCCATGGTGGTGATGTTGGATGCTGGGTGTTAACAGGTGTCTTTCATACAGGTAACGAGGTGAGGCAGGTGGATTTGATGTAGATAATTGGTTGGGATTGAGGCTGAGTCTGAAAGAAAGACTAACTGGCTGGTAGGAGCCAGAATACTTGCTGTTTGGTAGGGGGTCATATACTTGATTTTCCTCATCAGATGGTTTCAATTTTAATAAATTCATATGATGTGAATTTCTAGAATTTTCTTTGGGATTCTGTCTCACTGTTAGAAGTACAGATGATTAAAATTATAGATGGCTGCATTCTTTGGAAGTGGGCAAACCTGCAAAATCTTTGATGATGCTGACGTGATTTGTTGGCGCCATCTTGGGGAGGTCAGTGTAATGTTTTAGCAGGAACAAAATAAATTTTAATCAACTTTAACTTTCTGAATATTGAACTAATTTACAGGGCTTTGATTTTAGCTGAAAGCAAAGTATTTATAATATTCTTAGTGGGATTAATAGGAATAGAATATTCTAATAGGATGGAAGCATGCTGCAAAGCGCAGCCACTCAGACATTTTTAAATATTACTATATACAGAAAAATATTTAGAAAGGCATAAACAAATATATACTCACATCTCTATTTTTATGTATACGTATATATATATATGTGTGTTTAGTTGCAAACTGAATAGTTAACAAGGTTTTTATAAATTAATGAATGACAGTGAAAAAATGACATTTTTTGCTTTAAACTCGCTAAATAACCATAAATATTTCTGTCTGATTAACTTTACAAACGGCGCCACATATATAGGAGCCATTTTTCCATTTTCAGTTAAATCTAAAAAATTTAGTTTGTTATTTAGAATAGATTTTTGGTTATTCACTTGTATCAGTAGGGAGGTCATGTGGAGCTCATCATAGTAGCTGGTTGGCTGGAAAATTTAGATTTCTCTCTCGTATATTTAGTGATGCGATTTATCCAGTGAAAAATGTTTTTACTATGTTTGTTTCACCAGAAAATGTCTGAGAGGTGATTTTATTCCCACGACAAACCAAATAGTTTGTCAAAGTTTGTTAAAATGGGAAATTTGTTTTAAAAATTGATGCTGCAGTTCTTTCTTTCACCAAAAGAGGGAGACAAATCACCTGTAACAGGAAGGGGAGCAAAGAACAGAACAGAATAGAAAATCACTTTATTTTCCCACAATGGACAGAATTAGGGTCACTTTATTATTTTTTTTTTCTTCTTTTCCATCATAACAGAATAAAAATTAACTGGTTTGTAGAATAAAGTCAAAATATTCCAGATAAAGTTTGAATCCATGTGGAAGAAAGCGCTGCGATGTTTCCAGGCGGTTAGGAAGGCGTCAGGATCGACTCACAGCATGTTTCTATGTTCCATCATAATAAATAACAAACAAGTATAAAAATATAGGCTCTTATTATGACCTGAATTACTTAAGCTCAAAGATATTAACCTTTAAAAAGCTGTTATTTTGTGTAATGATGGGAAAAAGTTTCTGAATATGAAGAAATCTGATTTATTAGCTGAACTAAAAGTGGAAAAAAGAAGCTAATAAATGTTAAAAATGAACAATAATGATATTTATTATCTAAAAAGCATCACAGCAGTGAAATGATCCAAAGATCGGCTCCCAGTCTCTAAAAGCTCAGATCAAAGTTCTGTTGTGGATAATCCTGGGTTCCTCCTTCAGGTGCTGCAGCTGCTCCTCCTGCTGCTCCTCCTGCTCCTCTGAGAGGAGAACCGCCGCAGCTGGAGGGACGGCGAAGCCTGGCGTCGGCGCCGCCGATGGAAGCGACCCGGGTTCAGGACTGGACGCGCTGCAGTTTGGGTTCAGATGGAGCCTCGATGGTTTCGCCCGCCATGAAAAGCTCCTGCAGGTTTCAGGAAGACGTTCGTTTCATCAGAACTTTCCTCAAAGATCACAGAAGATTCTAGAACTTTTATAAACAGAATCTCATCTCAAGGCACGTCATTATCTAACGCCATCTATAAATCCAGATCTATTGATGATGTCAGACAGCAGAGGCGGAGCCAGAAAACGTTTCTAGCTCAGGGTCGATCCAGGCTGACCTCAAAATGAGCAAAACATCCATATTTTCTAATTAAAGACCGAATAAACTTTCCTACAGATCTGCTAAGAAATAGACGCGTAATTTAAACATCTAGATAAAAGGTATAGATCAGCTGGTCCCAATAAAGGAAATCAACCAGTAAAGGTCCATTTTTAATCATAATCTGTTACTTTAAACAGAATTTAACCCGGAAATAAATTACATTTCTATGCATCCATTTTATTCAGTGGATATTTATATAAAAATAAAATAAAAATAGAAAGTTTTTCCATTTTAAAGTTTAAATTGTTCCCAGGTGCCGCCTGCGACCCAGGGTCGGCCTTTTGAACCTTCAGCTCATGTTGATACGAGTCATTCTATGTCTGCATATCTACAGAAAGCTCCTCCTTCCAATGACAGCGAACGCGCCGAGCTTAATGGATGAAATAAATTACTTTATATAAAATAGTAGGGTTTTGTGTGCCAGTAAATGTGAAAAAAATCATAAAAATAAGATATTTCTTCATCAATTTATCAATTATTCATCTAAAAACAGATTTTAAAAATGTTTTTGTGAATAAATGTGAAATAATAAAAAAGTGGAAATACGGAACAAAAGAAACACTTTCAATAAACACAAAGACAAAATAAAGAATTAAAGAAATGTTAAACAGAATAAATGAGTTAATAATCAGCATAAAGGCAAGAAGAGAATAAAAAACTAAACTAGAAGTTAAAATCTATATTTTTAGATGAATAATTGATCAATTGACAAAAACATAAATTATTATTTTCTTACATTTAATGGCACAAAAGTTCATATAATTAGTTACTTTTTTCAAGCAATTTTATATTATTAAGTCATTTATTTCTGTATGTATTTAGAATTATGGCAGGATTGGTCCTCCGTATCGGTCGGTCTGTCGGTGGAACTAAAGGAACTTTAAGAGATATGAAAAATTTTAATGTTTTGATTATTCCACTTTATAGTATCACTGCCGTACGGAAGACGATTAAGGCCACTAAAAAATAAAAAAAAAGGTGAAATGATTTTTAAAGTTTCATTCAGTATGTGAGAAAAAGGTCAGAATTCTGACTTTAATCTGAGAATTGTGGATCTTAATGTAGATGGTCTCCATGGAGGCGGAGATGTGGAGCACTGAGCTTCAGTTGTTTGGGAGAAACAGGAACACATTGGTGGAAAATGATGGAATTAGGAGACTTTTCCGTCCCTGAGGTTCCATGCTGATGCTGTTTGATTAATGGAAGATCTGGAGATTAAAACAAGAGAACTAGACTCTAAAACAGACATGGATGCTAACATGTTTGTTAGCTTATAGAGATTAAAGTCAGAATTCTGAGAAAAAGTCAGAAATCTGCTATTTTTCCTCATATTATACTGAAAAAAAAATTTTGTAAAAATTGGTTAACTTATTTTTTTTGTGTGGCCCTAATCTTCTTCCATAGTGCTGCCACCGTCTGACTTAAGGCTGATTTATACTGTGAAACCAGGTCGTCTGCGTAGGCGTCGCAGTGAACAAAAAGCCAGACGCTCCGCTGCGCAGACAGGAGGCCGGCTCGTTTTGTTTTTATGACCAAAAATGCGGAAAACGACTCGTGACCATAAACTCGTTTGACCAGCTAGCAGAGCGAGAGCCTTTTTCCACCTGGATCCCCGCTATTTTTGGCCCTTATGTCCCTCCATTGTCAGACTACTCGCCCCCACTTCCTCTCCGCTTCGGCCGTATCTAGATCCACAGCGTATAGAACAGACCACGCTGCAATAATGAGCATAAATCAAAAACCTCTGCATCAATCTTACTGCTGCAGGAGGAGAACCAGGCCTTTAGAGGGGAAATAATGGTAGAGGGGGGCCAATGATTGGCTGAGGGTGGCCATGGGCCCCCATCTAGCTCCGCCCCTGGCAGACTGACCTTATCATAGATGACTTTAACGATGAGCGAGCAGCTGGGGCAGGTGGCCACCTCCTCTCCGTTCTCCAGGTCTTCCTGAAAACACAAACTGGGTTTAAAATGTTTTATAAATAATAACTGATTTATTCTGAAAGGAATGACCCTTCAGAATAAAAGCCCAGAACAGAACTACTTCCTGTTTACATTTAAGAGAAATATTAGTTCATTTACACCTGATGGGACAAACAGAAAAGTTAAAGGTGTAAAAAAAGAAAGTAGTTAAACCAAAATATGAAACTTAAATGAGGCTAATAAAGGATTACACAAGCAGCAGGATGGAGGTACAGAACTTCTAAATATGAGCTTTAATAATTAAACAGACCGAGCCGAGTTCAGCCGAACATCTGCGACATTAATAAAATAACATTAATCTGTCAGTGGATCAGTTTCTGGTTCCTACAGGAAGGTTTAACAGGAATCCAGCAGAATTCAGCCGCGGTTCGGCGGGTCCCACCTTGGTGATGCAGAAACGGTCTCCGCAGGGACACGGGAAGTAGAAAGCCTCCGTTTCCTCATCGAACTCAAAGTCTTCAATCTCCACCTCATCATGAAACACCGACATGTTTCACCATCGGCCGGTTTATTAGCAGCAGCGGGACACGCTGATCACCGGCCCGCACCGCGGCGCGCGCTGATTGCGTCATCGGCACGGGACGTGACTCATCAAGACGGACCCAGATAAAAAAAAAATAAATAAAAAACAATAAACCGACAGTTTTTATACACTTTATTAGAAAATTCTTTATAATAAAAAAAAAAAATAAGCATAATTTCCAGTAAATAGTCGCCAGAAGAGGTTTAGAGTCACTAGAAAAATAAAAAAATTAACAGATTTTTTTATTTAATTTCAGTTTAATATGGGAACAAAGTCAAATTTTTTGACTTTAATCTCAGAATTAAAGCTTCTTTCCAGAACTCAGCAGCATCTTCAGCTTCTGGTCTAAAAACAGGAAAACTAAACATTCCGATTTTTAAGCAAATGAAGGATGAATTTTTTTTTTATTTCTATTGTTTATAAAAATGATTTTTTATTAAATCCAAATAAAAACGTGACTAATTCAAGAGTTTCTAATTTGAAGCTTCTCTCATTACAGATTTAATAATAATAATGCATTTTATTTTAAAGGCACCTTTCTGGACCCTCCAGGCCACCGTACCAAAGATAAAAACACAAAAGCAGAAGCAAAGTCAAAAAACAAAATAAAACCTTAAAAAATACAAAGGCTGGGAAATTATTATTAAAAAGAGTAAAGAATTTTAAACAGATGAGTTTTTATTTGCAGGATGAGTCACCAGCAGGTGGCGACAAACCTTCCCTCCATCAAAACCAACAGATTGATGGGAAATAATGAATATTGACCTTAAAGCGATGGAAGATCTTAATGGATCTCTAGCTAATGACCCAATATTCACTTTATTTTATAAAACATAGAGCAGACCAACAATAAAACAACAAATCATTAATAAAATAACAATAAAAAACAATCTTATGGATTAAATACCTTCAGTATCCTATAAAACATTACTTCTTTATTGTTTACATCTTGAACAAATAAGAGAAAAGAGATCCAGAGCAATTCTTCCAGCTGATTGGCTACCTGCCTCCATGGTGAGTTTTTTAGCCAATCACAGGAGCAGCAGCAGCTTCAAAGTTAACTGATAAATCAAACTCCTTCTAAATCTGGGAAACAGCCGTCAGCGTTTATGGATCAGAAAGTGATCTGGGAAGGTGGAGGCTGGTCGCTCTGAGGAGCCCAGAGTTGGTTTAAAAATAAATAAACGCTGCAGGTTGGTGGAGGTGAGATGGGAAAGGAGAGATAGAGGAGTTAAAGGAGGAGAAAGGTGGTTAGAGAATTAAGGGAATAAAGGGGAATTAGCAGAACGCAGTTTAGATGAAGAAAGAGTTTTATTGAAGGAAGGTTGACAGAAAAATAAATAAAAATAGTATTTATTGTAGGCGCTAAGCCGACGCTTAAAGGAGTGTTTTTAAAGCGGAACCTTATGGCTGACGCGCCTTTGCTGGGATGAGGCGGTGAACAGGAGACGCAAATAACAGTAGAGACTCATTTTATTCATAGCGTCCGTCATTAACGGCTCAGAGCCAATCAGAGCCGATCAGAAGGCAGAGAAAATCAGGATCAAGGAAAAGTTTTTGGGCCTCGAAGAAGTTAATTGGGAATAAATAGTTAGAAGGTTGGAGATGGAGGGAAGAACAGGAGCATCTGGAACATAAAAGATATTATTAATAATGAATAGTAATTTTGGGGAACCGGTGCCACACAGGAGGTCTTACACAGGGTGGAGATCGCCCCCCCTCAGTGAAGAGGTGAGGGCAGGGAGGGGGCCGGTGTGGGGGCAGTCAGACCGGGTGAAGCTGTTTATCTCATCCTGGCCGCCTGAAGCCCTGCAGGAAGCGTGAACGTTTCAGGACACCAAGGCTCTGGGTCTGAAGCCGCTGCTCTACAGCCTCAGGGTGGAAATACTTTACAAACCGGCCAGAAGTTCTTCTTCTCTGTGGATTTTAACGTGTTGCTAATATGTCAACTAAGGGTAACTTTTTTCCTCCAAGTTTCTCAGCAGAATAATGAATTTCCATGTGTCTGTTAAAATATGACGTTGATGCGCATCTTTTCCCACAAATATCACAACGAAGCGGGTTTTCTCCGTGGTGAATTATTTTGTGTGTCTTTAAATATGAATTGAAGGTAAATCCTTTTCCGCAAGCATCACAAACAAATGGTTTTTCTTCACTGTGAATTCTTTTGTGCATTTTTAAATAAGCACTGGAGCTAAATGCTTTTCCACAAGCATCACAAACAAAAACATTTCCTCCATTATGACTTAGTTTGTGAGTGTTTAAGTTTGACGTGGTGGTAAATCCCTTCCCACAGGCATCACAAACAAAGGGTTTCTCTCCTGTATGGGTTCTCATGTGTCTGATTAAAGCACACTGTGTGATAAATCCTTTTCCACAAACATCACAGTCAAAGGGTTTTACTCCACTGTGAATTTGTTTATGAATATTTAAATTTCCTTTGGAGTTAAATCTTTTCCCACATGTATCACAACCGTAAGCTTTTCCTTTTGAGTGGATTCTTTTGTGTCTTTTTAATTCAGACTTTGAGGAACATCCTCTACCACAACAATCACAGACAAAGGGTTTCTCTTCAGTGTGGATTTTTCTGTGTCTGTTTAAATTGGACTTGGAGATGAATCCTTTCCCACAATTATCACATATAAAGGGTTTCTCTCCTGTGTGGATTTTCTGGTGTCTGTTTAATTCAGACTTTGAGTAACAACTTTTACCACAAGTGTCGCAACTGAAAGGTTTCTCTCCAGTGTGGACTTTCATGTGTCTTTTTAAAATTGAATTGGTGATAAACTTTTTTCCACAAGTATCGCATTCGAAGGGTTTCTCTCCTGTGTGGTTTCTCATGTGCATGTCTAAAGAATGTTTTCTAGTGAATCTAATTTCGCAAACAGTACAATCAAATAACTTCTCCCTCGTGTTCATGTTAGCATCACTACAGTTTAGCTGTTTAGTATTTTTCTTTAGTGATTCTTCTTCTTTCGTCTCTGTGAACCATTTCTCATCGATGGAACGTCCTGAAGTCATGGATCTCGGCGTAGAACGACTCTGAATAGATCTGTTAGCTTCTTGTTTCCCAGATTTGCTAACAGTGTTTGTGTCTGACTCAGGAACTCTGCTCTCTTCCCGATCCTCCTCGCTATCCTCGGTTTCAGAATCTTCTCCACGCTCTCCAGAGCCTCCGTGACTCTTTAGATCCGTGTTCCTGCTGGTCTCTGCTGTTCCAGAGTCCTCCTCTTTCATTTCTACCTTTATATGTTCGGCCGAAGCTCTGATTGGAAAACCTGCGTCTTCAGTTTTGTGCGGATGAAGCTGAAAGAACAGAGGTTTCTCTTCCTCCTCCTCAGTTTTCACGGGAACAGAAGGAAAGCTGCTATCATGCGTCTCCTCCTCCTCCTTCACACTCAGCTGTTCCTCCTTGATGCGGTGGAGCTCCTGCTGGTCGGCATCAGGAGCCTCTTCTTTAACATCTGCAGGCAGCAGTGAAAACATCACATCCGTTATGAACAACCTTACAGTGTCTCTGTCAGTAGATCAATCTGGTTACATTAAAACATCTTCTGATTATTATTCCCTTTGAGCTTATTTGATTTTCTGCTTCACACCTTGGTTTTTTTTCTCTGTCTGCCAGAGAATAAAGCATTTTGTGTTTATTTATCATAGAAAGAGCAAATGACCAATAAATAAGAAGAAAAAGACAAATATCAGGTCTACAGGAGAGCAGGTATAAAATCAGAGGCACATAAAGAAAGAAGAGAATCTCATTTCAACTGAAAGATCCAGGATATTTCCTACGTGGCTAACAAAGTGTGATTCCTCATCACCCTGCAAACCACATTCAGGAAACTATACACCGTCTGTCCAGGAATGCAGAGGAAGAGAAGAAGAATCTGCAGCTGAAGTTTCTTTCGGTTGTAGATATTATTTTTATAACGGGTCAGATTAACGAGCGTCTGATTGATGAGCTCTAGAGGCTGAAGCTCTGGAAGGATGAAGGTTTCAGATTCCCATGGCTGCTCCCTCACTAATACCGACTCCTTTCTAAGGATCTAAGTTAGAAAGAATGAAAAGCAGAATCTTTATGCTGTTCTTTACATTTTCAATTTAGTGTTTCAGGCTAAACAACAAATGAAAGGATTGAAGTTTCGCCAATAAAGGTCGTTATTGATGGATGCTGTGAGAGCGATGAATCGGCGGCCATCATGCAGAGCTCTTTAGCTCAAATTCAGATTTTAAACCTTTTATTTGATCCAGATCAAAGCTTTTCTGCCACATCAGGTCTCAGAATTAGGATTTTAACGAGGCGGATTTAACGCTGTGCGTCGGGTTTACAGGCGTACCGGAAACAGGGACTTCAAAGGTTCCTGCTTTTAGCGTCTATAAGAACAAGATATTAAAAACATTTATTTTTCAGGGCGTTAAAATGTTTCTAATGAATGAATCATAATTAAGGCGATAAAGTCCCGCCTTCTTAAAATGTTAAACAATCCTTACTGATGGCGGCAGCTGCTGTTAGCGTCCTGCTATCAGGCTCCTCCTCCTGCTGCTCCACATCTGCTCTCTGCTCTCCAGATGTTCTCTCCTCTGCTTTAACAAAGATTCAAATGAAACAAACCTGATTATAATAAAACGTTTCAACATTTCCTGAGTTTATTCACTCATTAAACTAAAATCAGCGTCTCTAACTTTCCCTGCAGGAAAAGAAACGTTATTGATGTTAATGTTTGTTATAAAGTTCATTAAAATTAACACCTAATGGAGACGATCTGTTTAAACTCAGCCAACATTCCCACATTTAGCCCTAAATTCATTTTCAGCTAACTTTCCTCATCTGTCCAAACATATCAAGGATAATTCCTAATCTGACCTTTAGTGGTTTATATTCCATTGGTCACAGAAGGAGCATCATTAAAGCTGATTAAAACTGAACACAGAGACCTTTCAGCTGCTCCCTGACAATAAGAAAGGAGGAAACATTCAAACCTGATGGCTGCTGTGGAACCTGCGCCATCTTTCAGTGTCTCCTCCTCCCCTGGTTCTCCTCCTCTCCTGGTTCTCCTCCTCTCCTGGTTCTCCTGGTTCTCCTGCTTCCCTCCAGCTCCTCAGTTCAGCCTCCAGCTGCTGGACTTCTTTCCAGAGCTCAGCAGCATCTGCAGCTTCTAGACTGACAACAAAACAGGAGGAAGAAGATGAGAGACGGACAGGAGGAGGAGGAGGAGGAGGAGAAGGAGCGACAGCCAGTGAGGTCTTTAGTGTTTCTGCTGCAGATGTAAATATTTCTATAATAGGAATAAAATCAGTTGAGAAAAGCTGATGGTTCAAATATGAAATGACCAAAAGTCAGAACTGAAAATGTAATGAAAGGGAAACCATTAGGCTGTGATCGTTGAGGGAATGTTAGATCTTTACCACACAGATTAGAGCAGCTCTAAGTAGTGAGGAGATCCCAACCAGAACTGGTTCTGCAGGTGGATATGGAAGAAGAAAAAATAGGAAATAAAAATAAACTGATTTTAAATATTATTTCAGTTTATTATGGGGGATAAATTCGGAATTCTGACTTTAATCTCAGAATTCTGACTGAATTCTGTTCATCGTTAGTTTCCATTGATTTCTATTCCTGGGTTTAGTTCACTGACAGCTAGCATGGTCGACCAATCAGACCGCAGTCCAGACTTAAAGCAGACTGTTCTTATATCAGCCAGCAGATAATGATAATAACGCCCAGTCCACCTTAAATTCCTCTAAGCTCTGCATCTATAAGCTGTGTAGAAAAGCCTTCTACATGTTAAGTTAAGGAGGGCTGATTAGGAGATTCCGGTTAGAGAATCAGGAGACTGGAGATGATGATCGGCAGCTTTAATGCAGCTCCAAACACTGAACATGGTCCATAACAGGCTGAGATGCATAATCACAGGTGAAACACATGTTACATGCTGGGATGATGGAGCATATGAGTAAGGTCTGTAAAAAGGAACAAACATAAAAGTGCTTATGAGCTAAATTAGGATTTCACTAAACATTTCAGCAAACAGCTACAGAAATAAACAATTAACCAAAATCCCAGCAATCCTCATAGAAACACTGCTGCATCAGCAGCAATAACAGAAGCCATGCAGCTTCAAATACAGCAACTCTAGGCAGCAGCAGCATTAGCTAAACTACTATTAGCAACAAATGCTAACCGGCACTAGCAATCACAGCAGCTAACCAGAACAGCAGGAAACAGAGAAATATGGCGCAAATTAATGATTCACACTACAATTATATTAATGCAGAACATGTAAGGAGTAAAGTAATATCTAAAAGGCACTTACTTTATTTATTACGCACACAAATATCCACCATGAAGAAATAAAGATTCGGCGCGCGTCACACTGATAGCGGTCCGGGCGGAAACAAGAAACTAAATTAGGTTCTCCCTCAGTCTTTCTAACAAGCTGAAACTATTATCTGAACATTTGTGAAGCCAACAAAAGCATCAAAGAGAAGAGGAGGAGCCAATTATTTTTTTATTAATAATTAAAAATGTTCCTTTGTTTTTCTGCA